CCGCCGGCGCCGCGCGCGCCGCTCCTCGCTCACAGAGCCCACAACATCGCGCGGCCGCCCGCGCCCGCCAGCGGCTCCCTCCCCGCGCCGCGCATGCGCGCGGATATCCCTCGCTCCCCCCCGCCCGCCTCGGCTCCCCGGCCCGCGACCAATCGGATCGCGACCCGGGGCGGCCCCCGGCGGCCTCGGCCCGCCCCCTCAGCTGCTCATTTGCGTAACGGGAGGAGGCGGAGGGACTGCAATTCCCAGCATGCCGTGCGCCGGGGCCAGGGGGCCGTGAACAGGCCATGGTCCAGGGCATGTAGGGACTTGTAGTCTCCTCCTGGAGCTCTGCTGAGGCTGCCTAGATCACCACAGAAAGCCCCTAACCGCGACCGCCGGCTCCGTTGAGGCCACCGGGATGCGGCTGCTGCGTTTCCAGCCTCTCGAGGTCGCAGACGTCGAGGTGGCGGCGGGGAGTGGAAAGCGGTTGCTCGGCAACGGCCGCAAACAACCGTCCGCCATCTTGTTCCTTCCCCGCCGTGTAGTTTTTTTCCCCTGCGGGCGCCTATCCACGTCCCGGCAACGCGCTCGCCGGAGAACTACAACTCCCAGCATCCCGCGCGCCCGCCCGGCAACGCCGCGCGGGCGGCGGCGGGAGCGGCGGCGCAGCCAGGTACGGGGCCGCCGCGCGAGGGGCGCTCCCCGTTCCCCCGAGGGCAGGAGGCCAGGGAGGCGCCCGGGGCCCGGCCGCGGCCCGCGGCCCTGAGCGGAGCGGGGCAGGAGAGCGGGCCGTGCGTGGCTCCCGGGCCAGCCCGGCAGCCCCTCGGTAATATTCAGAGAGACGGAAACATTAAAAATTCAGCCCCAGCTGTAGCGGGACTCGCTCTAGCCCGGCTGCCGTCAGGGAGGAGCGTGCGGGAAAGAGCAGCCGTGCCCGGGGCTGCTCCTGTGGCGCATTCCGGGGCACAGGCGCCCGGCGGGCTGTAGCCCCGGTCGGGTGTAGCCCCGCGGGGTGTAGCCCCGGTCGGCTGTAGCCCCGGCGCGGCTGTACCGGCTCCCCGGGCCCCCTGCGCAGCAGCCGGGCAGGCGCCGGAACCGCTCGCCCGGGCCGGGTTTTGTGTGAGGGACGAGCGGGCTCGGATCGGAGGAGCCGGGCTCGGATCGGAGGGACTGGGCTCGGATCGGAGGGACTGGGCTCGGATCGGAGGAGCCGGGCTCGGATCGGAGGGACTGGGCTCGGATCAGAGGGACCGGGCTCGGATCACCTGGATGAACCCGGAATCCCCGGGAGAAGCCCGCGCCGTCGGAACCGCTCCCGACCGTCCCGCCTAGTGCTCATAGCTGCGCTCAGAAAGATCCCCGAGCTCCGGATTAAAGCAAAGCGAGGGCACTCCCTGAAATTCTGCATCACATAGTGGAAGCAGATTGTATTGTTAATTGTATTCATTTGTATAGGTTAAAGCATTCGTTAGTATGATAGTTGTTTAAATGCAGCCGTAAGCGAAGTTCTCTGTGCCACGAACCCCTCTGCAGCTCAGGTCCTTAAGGTGTTTGCGTATGTCTGAGCTTTCATATCTTGGTATTTTTTCTTCTTTTGTTCTTATTTATTTATTCTTATTTTTGGACGGTGAATATCGGGAAGCTCACACTGTGAGAGCTGAAATTACTACGCCAGTAGAAATAAATGTTTTCCACTATGAGGGAGCTGGAGCATGAATTATGATTCAGTTTGAATGTGTGAATAAATTTTTCTCTCTCCCTTATCCAAAATTCCTTATGAATATAAGGACTGTGGCAAGTGCAGAGGAAAAACAGATCATGTCCAGAGAGGAGCGGAGAAATGGTTGTTCTCCTATTCTTCTTCCTGGAGCAGAACACTTTATAATGCTGGCCAAGTGACAAAGGTGCAGTGCAGTGCAGCTGCTTTTTGACCATCCCTCCTTTTTGGTCACAATCGTGTTTTCCTGGGCATTTTTATTAATTGGACATCATGATCATGTTTGATAACTGGATTGAACATAAACACAGGCATAACTATTTTTCTTCAGCAGTTTGAGATTAGTAATTAAAACTAGTGCTGTGTAGGCAATTATTACAGAGCATGGTACTGCAGGGCAGGGTACACTGTGTCAGGAAATGTTACGACATCCTCTTACTGCAAGAAATGATTTGTCTTTAGCACAGTGGGAATGAATCATCTTCATCAGGCATTCTTTTCTGACAGTACCCTGTGATACTGTACAAAATGCAAGGACATATTTTTTAATACTTTCTTTTTCACCATGTAAAATTACTTTTGTGCTCATTTTTTTCTCTCACTGCTAAACCAGTGTAGTGGCTTTCACCCCTGATCATTACTGTCATTTGTCTTTATACATAATAGCACGTGCACATGTGCATTAAACAAATGAAACACGGTTCATGCAAACATGAAAATCCAGGTAGCCAGTTTTGCAAACTCTCACTCACAGGAGAAAGGCAACAGTTGAAATAGATACAGGGCATCAAGCATAAGAAGTTGTGTGAGCTGCTGTGCCTGCAGAAACCCCAGCAGCGGGTACGCTACAGGGTGCCCTGCCTGTCCTGCTACTTTCCGACTCTGTCTCCCTGTTTCTTTGTATTCCCCACCTCCCTATTCCCATTCTTTCTGCTGTTTTGCAGATGCAGACTGTTAATAACAACATGTTATGAGATTTAAAACTGACAGTCTACCTGCAGTTGCATCTCGCTGGGAAGGTCAATGTGTTCAATAGGTCTCTTGCTAAAATTAAGGCTTTTCTCTAACATGATCTTTAATTATATTTCATCAAGTGGACCAAAAAAGAAACCATTGAAATTTCACCCTTATGATCTTTTGAGGCATTTCCAAAATAAGAAAAAGGTAATTATTTCTCATGTATTTTATTGATGTTTTCACTGCTTGCTCATTCCAGGTTAGCTCCTCTATTTGACTAACTCTGATTTTGAAAGCTTGACCTAAATGTTCCCTTCTGTGTTACTGCAGTATCTGCTTCTTTGTAAGCCTATCAACATACATTATGCCACAACTGAAGGAGGCATGAAAAATTAATGATTTACTGTATTTATAGGATTCTCCATGGTGAAGATGGTCAGCCATGGAAAACATATTGCAGCAATAGTAGAACAGCTTAACAGATTTAATCCTGAAAATCAGAGTGTGGAGGATTTCTTGAATGAATCAGCTAAAGTGCTGCAGGTACATTTTCAATTTATCTTACATAGCTTAAGTTTTAGTAGGTGATTTTAAGTATAAATGTATCTATTTCCTAATGTGCTATTGCAACTGTCACAGTTTTTTTCTCTCAGTGACTACATTTCTCATCCCGATGTAAAGCAAAGATCAGAGAGCTGAATAAGTGCTTGGTAGCAACAATAAACAGAAAACGCAGCAACCTGCTAAAATGGACCTGGTAACGAGAGGAAAAGTTTCTCTTCCACTTCTCACTAAGCTGTTTTGAAGTCTCCTATCTTCCCCTTCTGAATGAAAGTTTCTGCCAGTTTGACCCATTCACATATACACACAGTTGATAGGAATATTAAATTAACTGTTGGTACATCCACAGTCTAAGTAAGGTGGGATTTTAAAGGAGGAAGAAGGTTTTCACTGGCCATTTTGCTGCAGTTTTCAGCCCCCCATGTCTAATTAAACCAAAATCAGATTTCATTGTTTGCCTAGGCCAGGCTGTAAATTTTGGCAGTGTGGAAGCCTATTTATGAGATCAGACATTCTTACTTTGGGGACATTAAGTAACCCCAAGAGAGGCAAGTGACAGAAGATGAACCACCTGATTTCAACCTAATACTGCAAGCAGCCAGGCCAGGGCTTGCCGGTAAGTAGCTACACTGACACCAGCAGTTCCCATCCTTTTCTGACCATGCTCTGTCACCGGTTCCCATCCTTTTGTGCTCATTGCAACCCCAGTGCTGATGTCGTAATTCATGGGACCCCTGTGGTCTGAATCTACTTCATAAAAATCACTAAGAGGAGACAGACGTAGTGGCACAGGCTGCTATTGCCTTTGTGTTATCAAACAATGTTGTCAGAGCCCTGATTTTACACTGCTCTGTAGCTCGGGTACTCATTTCTGCTTCTGACTGTAAGGTCTACATCACTGCCATTCCAAATAGATAGTCCTTTGCACTGATTTTTCATAAATAGAAAAGACTGCAAAAATATAAAACTATGGATGTCTAATATGAAGATCACAGGCTGAGGCAATGGGTTCATATGCACTTGTTTGGTGTTTATTTCTTATACAGCTTTTCCATAGGCCACTGTATTTTTGTCCCTGCCTTCCTGCTTTGTAGTGATGGCCTAACTCATGCATTCATATGCTGTTACACATTAGGAAACTGATCCAGTTTCAAAATAATCAGATTTTTGCTGGGTGGAGTGTGAGGAAGTTCAGCCACCACTGCTGCTAAGATAAGTACTTGTAAAAATTAGTATTCAGGTCACCGTTCTTATCAGCTCAGGAAAGGTGACATAAAGACAAAAGATGCACTAACTGCATTAGAGAAATGTGACCCTTCAGCTTCTTCATAAACCCTTCCAAAGGGGAAAGAACAGAGGGGATAGCTGATGCCAAAGATACAGCAAAAATCATTCTCTGAGATTGTGTAAATCCATCTATTTCACCTCCCTTACTACATAATATTTTGACTGTCAATTTATCCAAGGAAATAAAAGTAAAATCTATTTTATATGAAATCCAACTTCCTTGCATGTGTCAGTATAAAATGAATGCTAAAATCCTGCTGCTCTTTTGTCACCTGTCACCAGTATTATTTTATCTCAGAGCTCTGAGAAAACGTCTTTAAAATATTTTCTTTTCCAGATGAGTATTGTGCAAACAAGTGACCTAAGAATCCCATTTAAATTTGATTTTCTTATTTGGAAAAATACTGACTCCGGTTTCCTTCCAAGGCCCAAGTGTTCTACTGGCCACCCTTGGCATCCTCGGTGCTTCAATCCTCTCATGATTAATCCACACTTGGCCATTTACCAATTAGCCAGTGGTAACTGGGTAACTCAGAAACTTCCTCTTTCTCCAGTTAGGAACTGGATTAACTCCATCCCTTTTAATCACAGACCTGATTCAAGCCCGTATGTCTCATACCAGAAGAATAGCAAAGAGTAAACCCAGCACTCTGTCCTACTGACGAGGCAACAGTCAGGACAGTCAAATTCCAGAAGCACAAGCCTGAATAATCCCAAGCCACAGCTCTCATTATAGTTAGTTAGTTGCTTACATTTGCAGTATATTAGATGTCTTTTTAATATAAATTACTATCTTCTACTAGATTTTTCTAATTGGTTAATTAATTTTCCATACACTGTCAGTGTAGTCAGGTTTCACTCATATGTTTCATTCATCTTATATATCTGTAATTGTTGTATTTTAACATTTCCTGGTCTGTATGTCATTCTAATATGATACCTAAGGGGTCTTGTGTAGACCTCTGATAACCTGTTGACAGCGTGCAGAAAAATACACTTGTTAGGCTGTTACCCACTGTTTGTGGTTGCTCCAAGAGAAGCCAAAAATTTTGAGATAGATTATTTCTCTTGAAACAATAAAACAATGTGCACAGGTTATTACAAAATATGTTCATGGTATTCAAGACTTGGACAGTGTCACTACCAGGCTGCAGTACTGATTGCCAGGTCTACAGGTGACAGGTCTACAGGTGACAGGTCCACTGTTACTTGAACTGCAAGGAACAGGTCCAAAACTTGTTCACTGCAGGGGCTAATGGATATTTTACAGATCAAAATCTATTCACAGTTACAGAGAAAGAGGTTTACAAGAGCCATAGAGTTGCTTCTGGGAGCTGATCCCAAATAAACCAAGGTCTTAGGTAACCTACTAAATAAACAGTGGAGATGGGCATCCTTGGCTGATCCAAATGGGAGATGACATCTGTAAGGAATAGGAGATAATAGGTAGAATGGAACTAAGCTCCAAAGCACCTTCACGGTAAAAACAGGTAGTGTTTGTTTTATGTTCCAGAGTCAACTGTGACATGTTAGGTGAGTCAAAACAATGGACCAGGAGAATAGTCTTAAAAATAGCAGGAGGTGTGGCTATGGACAGAGAAGACTGGACTTTTTAAATCTAAAAAAAATATATTTTTTATTGTACTAAAATAGAAAATGTTGAGAAATTAACTTAGATTTTTATCAGTGAACATTTTAAAACTACTGTTCAAAAAGAATACACAAGAGGTACACATAGACTAACTGATATCCTGAAGAGTTGTCTATGTGAAAAGTGGCCTCCTTTGAGGCTCGACTAACAGGCAATAGTCTCAGATAAGAGGAAGTAGCAAGCCAATGCTCAAATTTTGTTTTAGCATTGTGGAAATTAAGCTAACAATCAACAACGAGGAAGTGTCACAGGGAGAGGAGTTGATTTTAGAGTCTAGGTTAACATTCTTATTTGTGTACTTGACAAATGTGAATATGTTATGAATATGCAATGAGAAGAAGTTGGATACAGTCTTAAGGGAGTGAGGTTGGAAAACACAATCTGCCTTGATCAAAGTATCCCTGCCAACCATCCACCAGGGGTAATAGACTGGCCTTGTGGGAACCCTTGCTAATCAAAGCAGTGAAAATGGGCTGTGAGATAAATTACAGGAAAAGAAGTGAAAGTGGGCAAGCAAATATATGTTAAAATAAGGGACTTTATATATATGTGAAAAAAAGAAGAAGGCATAAAAAGCAAAGGGCCATAATTGTGTATTCACAGCCACTAAATAACTTACTTGGCAAATTATAGGAGAAACTAACTTTGTGGATTCCCATGTTAGCTCTTTTATTGATCTGTGAAATAGATGTGTTGAATATTTTGCTCAAACAAGCAACACAAAATTTCTGTAGGCTTTGCTGTGCTGCTGTAAAGTTAATGCAATCTGGAGTAAGAACTTGGGTAACAACTTTACAGCAAGATTTTCTTCATAATCTCTAGATGCTCTAATTTTATTGACATATAAGTTTAGATAAATAATTAACCCCCCAAATGTGTGATTGTGTTAAATAATAGTATATTGTCATCTTTCATAAAGATTGTATTGCAAATTGTAAAAGAACATTTTGCTATTTCGAGGTTCTGACATTTCATGTTTGGGACGTGACCTCACAATAGAGGTTTGGAGTACTCTGCTAGCCAATATTGGGTGGCTGGAAGAGAAGGCTGTGTTTAGGTCTCAGCTCTGTCATCTGTGTGTTCTCCTTTCTCTTACCCTAACACTTCTTATTTATCCAGGTCTTTTATCTAACCTGTCCCTGTTCCAGTACCACTGTCACTGTCCAGCAAAATCCATTCACCTCTTGGGATTGATTCTGCTCTTCTCAAAGTCCTGCACATGCAGCCTCAGTCCCTACAACATCTGTGAGATATCTAATGAGATAAACAGTTGGCCATCTTTATTTATAGAGGAATGATGGCATTAAATACTGCTATCAGGAGTGACGTTTTTCTTAGCTACGCATGGGATTTAGCTTCACATATTCCTTTTAGAGCAATGGCAGTTGCTCAGTTGAACCCTCTGTACTGCTTTGAAAATTTAGCCATTTCTGTCTCTGCATTTTTATAATTGAAGTAGATCAAGCAGATAACATGGCCGATAATTTGGGGGCTACATATTTCTTTTTCATTTGTTCCATTTTGCAGCCACTTACTATTTCGGGTTACAAACAGGGTTCAAAGCAATAGAAACTGATTTTTACTTTGACAGTAGCTCACGTTTTTCTGAACCACTGCTTATACAGTCTTGCTTTGGTGTGGTAGAAAAGTACAAATAAATTGCCCAAGTGCCAAGTAGTTAACAGTGTTTAGTAACCTGTAATTAGCTCAAGGCTGGATCTGTCATCCTTCACATGAGTCAAGCCACAAAACACCATTTCTTCTTAGTGACTGAGGAATGAGCAACTTCCTGAGGCTTCTACCAAGAAAACCTTCAACTCTGCATTGGAAGTGGCAGAGGAGCACGGGCAGGTAACAGCTCTTGGAACTGAAAACTTGACCTTCTACACAGGACAGCTGCGGATTCACAGGCCTCCCCTTCCTGCTCCTTTTCCCATAGGAATTAATGTAGTTTAAAATCTAGTAGTAGTCCTCACTCCTGAAAATCTGCAGATGGTAGAACAAACAGTTCCTTGCTTGGATTTGTTTTTAAGATAAAAGCAAT